CCGGCTGCTGCGCGGGCTTTGCCCGGCAGCGACGCCCGACGGCGGTGGGGAGGCGGCGGCGGCGCTAGGGTACGCTCGGGCCGCTCCCCTGGAGAGCGACGCGAGCGGGGGGCGGAGTTGTGTCACATTCCTTGAACATGGTTCCAAGAACAGACGTTAGGTAACTAGCCGTACTAGTCAGCCTTCTGTGCCGTCCGTCGTGGCCTTGCTTAATCTAGAGACCGAAGGATAATGAGGGAGGAACTTTATTTGTTCTTTGATTATATCAATTACAAGCCTGGCTGCCTTTTAGGCAGGCATCCAACAAGACCTGACATAAGCCACACGATTGATGTCAGCTCACCGCCATTGCTAAGTTGCCTGGCATGGGAGTCTCTGCTACATCGGTTGGCTGCATGGCACAATGTCTCCACCCACACCCCAAAGATCACTTGCAACAAGTTTGGCACATTCGATTCCTTGCTGAGAAGCTGATCGGCCAGTTGAATTCCGAGAAGGAGGGTAGGGCCGGGAGAGTCGCTAGTCTGTAAATTGTGCTTCTTACTTAGTAGGATCCTGGCAAGCTTCTCCCTCTCCCTGTGCCTTGAAGAATTGGGGCTATCTTTGCTGAATAGTTTCTTCAGTGTATGGAATAAGTTGCATCCAAAAGATACTTGATCCCTGGGCTCTGTCGAGCCGTGACGTTGCCATATATCAACCAAGTCATTGCAGGTTTGCTCATACAGGTTGCGGCGAAGGGGCCCAGGCAGCATGGAGGGGAGTGCTACAAGGAGGAACAATATGTAATTAGACAACGCCGAGGTTGCCTTACGGAGAGTCGCTGATTCCTCAAGATTGGCCTGCTTGCCGCAGACGATCACAATATCGGTAGCAATGCTCCATATGAGGATGCTCTCATGGTAATCAGCGTCGATGCTCCAACGGAGGTCACTATATAATCCAGAACGACGCAGTACCCAGCCACCCCTCTCATTCTTTACTGCGTCCTCTGAGCTTTCCATAATTTTCAAGATCTGCATGAATACCAACTCTCTGACATCTGAAGACATAGAAAGGGTCCCCGAGTAATGTACCTCTTTCCACAAGTCTTGTAGCCCCATCTTCTTTGTCAGCTTGCTACTGAGATCCATCGTGTCTCGGGTGCACAAGTGTAACAGGTTCTATTGTGAAATAGTGCCAGACCAACTTCTGTAGCTTTGCGCCCCGACACACCGGCGAAGAGAAACAGCCATATGAAGAAGGCGATGCCACTTTCTGGAATGTATCAAGTCACATGTCCATGTCGATCCAATTGACCTGAGCACTGATGCGATCTCTAGTAGCAAGGCGCCGACCACCAAGATGTAACTGACAGTGATATCCACTTCACTGAAGCCATCTTTTATACTCAACTGAAACAACAAAAATGCTGCCAGGGTTGTAGATAGTGCAGTCACACGGATGAATAGTCCGTACCATGTGTGGATCACTGCCGCCTTAGTATATAGGATGTCATACAGGAGGGAGAGCTCCAGCTCGACCAATGTGCAGATCTCCTTCCATCCAAAGGATACAAGTCCTGTCGAATCATCATCGCTTGGACTTGGAGCCACCTCAACTGAAGAATCTGTTGGGGAACGTAGTAATTTCAAAATTTTCCTACGCACATGCAAGATCATGGTGATGCATAGCAACGAGAGGGGAGAGTGTTGTCTACGTACCCTCGTAGACCGAAGCGGAAGCGTTGACACAACGTAGAGGAAGTAGTCGTACGTCCTCCCGGTCCAACCGATCCAAGCACCGTTACTCCGGCACCTCCGAGTTCTTGACACGCGTACAGCTCGATGACGCACCCTCGATCTCCAATCCAGTAGAGGCTCCGAGGGGGAGTTCCGTCAGCACGACGGCGTGGTGACGATCTTGATGTTCTCCTGTCGCAGGGCTTCGCCTAAGCACCGCTACAATATGATCGAGGTGTAATATCGTGGAGGGGGGCACCGCACACGGCTAAGGAACAATCAATGATCAACTTGTGTGTCTAGGGTGCCCCCCCGCCCCCGTATATAAAGGAGGGAGGGAGGAGGAGGCCGGCCTAGGGAGGAGGCGCGCCATAGGGGAGTCCTACTCCCACCGGGAGTAGGATTCCCCCTTTCCTAGTCCAACTAGGGATCCTTCCATGTAGTAGGAGTAGGAGACTAGGAAGGGGAAGAGAGAAGGGAAGGAAGGAGGGGGTGCGGCCCCTCCCCCTAGTCCAATTCGGACTAGGCCTTGGGGGGGCGTGCAGCCTGCCCTAGGCAGCCCCTCTCTCTTTCCCGCAGGGCCCAATAAGGCCCAATACTTCTCCCCGGCGAATTCCCGTAACTCTCCGGTACTTCGATAAATACCCGAATGACTCGGAACCTTTCCGAACTCCGAATATAGTCGTCCAATATATCGATCTTTACGTCTCGACCATTTCGAGACTCCTCGTCATGTCCCCGATCTCATCCGGGACTCCGAACTCCTTCGGTACATCAAAACTCATAAACTCATAATATAACTGTCATCGAAACCTTAAGCGTGCGGACCCTACGGTTCGAGAACAATGTAGACATGACCGAGACATGTCTCCGGTCAATAACCAATAGCGGGACTTGGATGCCCATATTGGTTCCTACATATTCTACGAAGATCTTTATCGGTCAAATCGCACAACAGCATACATTGTTCCCTTTGTCATCGGTATGTTACTTGCCCGAGATTCGATCGTCGGTATCCAATACCTAGTTCAATCTCGTTACCGGCAAGTCTCTTTACTCGTTCCGTAATACATCATCTCACAACTAACTCATTAGTTGAAATGCTTGCAAGGCTTAAGTGATGTGTATTACCGAGAGGGCCCAGAGATACCTCTCCGACATTCGTAGTGACAAATCCTAATCTCGAAATACGCCAACCCAACAAGTACCTTTGGAGACACCTGTAGAGCACCTTTATAATCACCCAGTTACGTTGTGACGTTTGGTAGCACACAAAGTGTTCCTCCGGTAAACGGGAGTTGCATAATCTCATAGTCATAGGAACATGTATAAGTCATGAAGAAAGCAATAGCAACATACTAAACAATCGGGTGCTAAGCTAACGGAATGGGTCATGTCAATCAGATCATTCAACTAATGATGTGATCCCGTTAATCAAATAACAACTCTTTGTCCATGGTTACGAAACATAACCATCTTTGATTAACAAGCTAGTCAAGTAGAGGCATACTAGTGACACTCTGTTTGTCTATATATTCACACATGTATTATGTTTCCGGTTAATACAATTCTAGCATGAATAATAAACATTTATCATGATATAAGGAAATAAATAATAACTTTATTATTGCTTCTAGGGCATATTTCCTTCAGTCTCCCACTTGCACTAGAGTCAATAATCTAGATCACATCACCATGTGATTCACATCGATAGTTCACATCATCATGTGATTAACACCCATAGTTCACATCGCCATGTGACCAACATCCAAAGGGTTTACTAGATTCAGTAATCTAGTTCACATCGCTATGTGATTAACATCCAAAGAGTACTTAGGTGTGATCATGTTTTGCTTGTGAGAGAATCTTAGTCAACGGGTCTTTCACATTCAGATCCGTTATGTATTTTGCAATTTTCTATGTCTACAATGCTCTGCACGAAGCTACTCTAGCTAATTGCTCCCACTTTCAATATGTATCTAGATCGAGACTTAGAGTCATCCAGATTGGTGTCAAAACTTGCATCGACGTAATCCTTTACGACGAACCTTTTGTCACTTCCATAATCGAGAAACATATCCTTATTCCACTAAGGATAATTTTGACCGCTGTCCAGTGATCTACTCCTAGATCACTATTGTACTCCCTTGCCAAACTCAGTGCAGGGTATACAATAGATCTGGTACACAGCATGGCATACTTTATAGAACCTATGGCCAAGGCATAGGGAATGACTTTCATTCTCTTTCTATCTTCTGCCGTGGTCGGGTTTTGAGTCTTACTCAATTTCACACCTTGTAACACAGGCAAGAACTCTTTCTTTGACTGTTCCATTTTGAACTACTTCAAAATCTTGTCAAGGTATGTACTCATTGAAAAAACTTATCAAGCGTCTTGATCTATCTCTATAGATCTTGATGCTCAATATGTAAGCAGCTTCACCGAGTTCTTTCTTTGAAAAACTCCTTTCAAACACTCCTTTATGCTTTGCAGAATAATTCTACATTATTTCCGATCTACAATATGTCATTCACATATACTTATCAGAAATGCTGTAGTGCTCCCACTCACTTTCTAGTAAATACAGGCTTCACTGCAAGTCTGTATAAACTATATGCTTTGATCAACTTATCAAAGCGTATATTCTAACTCCGAGATGCTTGCACCAGTCCATAGATGCACATTTTGTTAACACCTTTAGGACCGACAAAACCTCTTGGTTGCATCACATACAACTCTTGTTTAATAACTCCATTAAGGAATGCAGTTTTTACATCTATTTGCCAAATTTCATAAATCGTGGCAATTGCTAACATGATTCGGACAGACTTAAGCATCGCTACAGTTGAGAAAATCTCATTGTAGTCAACACCTTGAACTTGTCAAAAAACCTTTTTGCGAAAAGTCGAGCTTTGTAGATAGTAACACTACTATCAACGTCCGTCTTCCTCTTGAAGATCCATTTATATAATATGGCTTGCCGATCATCGGGCAACTCCACCAAAGTCCACACTTTGTTCTCATACATGGATCCCATCTCAGATTTCATGGCCTTAAGCCATTTTGCGGAATCTAGGCTCATCATCGCTTCCTCATAGTTCGTAGGTTCATCATGGTCTAGTAACATGACTTCCAGAATAGGATTACCGTACCACTCTGGTGCCGATCGTACTCTGGAAGACCTACGAGGTTCTGTAGTAACTTGATCTGAAGTTTCATGATCATCATCATTAGCTTTCTCACTAATTGGTGTAGTAGTCACTGGAACAGATTTCTGTGATGAACTACTTTCCAATAAGGGAGAAGGTACAATTACCTTATCAAGTTCTACTTTCCTCCCACTCACTTCTTTCGAGAGAAACTCCTTCTCTAGAAAGGATCCATTTATTAGCAACGAATGTTTTGCCTTCGGATCTGTGATAGAAGGTGTACCCAACAATTTCCTTTGGGTATTCTATGAAGACGCACTTCTCCGATTTGGGTTTGAGCTTATCAGGATGAAACTTTTTCACATAAGCATCGCAGCCCCAAACTTTAAGAAACGACAACTTTGGTTTCTTGCTAAACCATAGTTCATATAGTGTCATCTCAACGGATTTAGATGGTGCCCTATTTAACGTGAATGCAGCTGTCTCTAATGCATGATCCCAAAACGATATTGGTAAATCGGTAAGAAACATCATAGATTGTACTATATCCAATAAAGTACGGTTATGACGTTCGGACACCCCATTATGATGTGGTGTTCCAGGTGGCATGAATTTGTGGAACTATTCCACATTGTTTTAATTGAAGACCAAACTCGTAACTCAAATATTTGTCTCCGCGATCAGATCGTAGAAACCTTATTTTCTTGTCACGATGATTTTTCCACTTCACTCTGAAATTCTTTGAACCTTTCAACTATTTTAGACTTATGTTTCATCAAGTAGATATACCCATATCTGCTCAAATCATTTGTGAAGGTCAGAAAATAACGATACCCGCCGCGAGCCTTAACACTCATTGGATCGCATACATCAGTATGTATTATTTCCAATAAGTCAGTTGCTCGCTCCACTGTTCCGGAGAATGGAGTCTTAGTCATCTTGCCCATGAGGAATGGTTCGCAAGCATCAAGTGATTCATAATCAAGTGATTCCAAAATCCCATCAGCATGGAGTTTCTTCATGCACTTTACACCAATATGACCTAAACGGCAGTGCCACAAATAAGTTGGACTATCATTATTAACTTTGCATATTTTGGTTTCAATATTATGAATATGTGTATCACTACGATCGAGATCCAATGAACCATTTTCATTGGGTGTGTAACCATATAAGGTTTTATTCATGTAAACAGAACAACAATTTATTCTCTTACTTAAATGAATAACTGTATTGCAATAAATACGATCAAATCATATTCATGCTCAACGCAAACACCAAATAACATTTATTTAGGTTCAACACTAATCCCGAAAGTATAGGGAGTGTGCGATGATGATCATATCAATCTTGAAACTACTTTCAACACACATCGTCACTTCACCCTTAACTAGTTTCTGTTTATTCTGCAACTCCCGTTTCGAGTTACTACTCTTAGCAACTGAACCAGTACCAAATACCGAGGGGTTGCTATAAACACTAGTAAAGTACACATCAATAACATGTATATTAAATATACCTTTGTTTACTTTGCCATCCTTCTTATCCGCCAAATACTTGGGGTAGTTCTGCTTCCAGTAACCAGTCCCTTTGCAGTAGAAGCACTTAGTCTCAGGCTTAGGTCCAGACTTGGGCTTCTTCACTTGAGCAGCAACTTGCTTGCCGTTCTTCTTGAAGTTCCCTTCTATCCCTTTGCCCTTTTCTTGAAACTAGTGGTCTTGTTAACCATCAACGCTTGATGTTCTTTCTTGATTTCTACCTTCATCGATTTCATCATGAAAAACTCGGGAATCATTTTCATCATCCCTTGCATACTATAGTTCATCACGAAGTTCTACTAACTTGGTGATGGTGACTAGAGAATTCCGTCAATCACTATCTTATCTGGAAGATTAACTCCCACTTGATTCAAGCGATTGTAGTACCCAGACAATTTGAGCACATACTCACTAGTTGAGAGATTCTCCTCCATCTTTTAGCTATAGAACTTGTTGGAGACTTCATATCTCTCAACTCGGGTATTTGCTTGAAATATTACCTTCAATTCCTGGAACATCTCATATGGTCCATGATGTTCAAAACATCTTTAAAGTCCCGATTCTAAGCCATAAAGCATGGTGCACAAAACTATCAAGTAGTCATCATATTGAGCTAGCCAAACGTTCATAACGTCTGCATCTGCTCCTGCAATAGGTCTGTCACCTAGCGGTGCATTAAGGACATAATTCTTCTGTGCAGCAATGAGGATAAACCTCAGATCACGGATCCAATCCGCATCATTGCTACTAACATTTTTCAACACAATTTTCTCTAGGAACATATCAAAATAAACATATGAAAGCAACAACACGAGCTATTGATCTACAACATAATTTGCAAAATACTACCAGGACTAAGTTCATGATAAATTCAAGTTCAATTAATCATATTACTTAAGAACTCCCACTTAGACAGACATCTCTCTAGTCATCTAAGTGATCACGTGACCCAAATCAACTAAACCATAACCGATCATCACGTGAGATGGAGTAGTTTTCAATGGTGAACATCTTATGTTGATCATATCTACTATATGATTCACGCTCGACCTTTCGGTCTCCGTGTTCCGAGGCCATATATGCATATGCTAGGCTCGTCAAGTTTAACCTGAGTATTCCGCGTGTGCAAAACTGGCTTGCACCCGTTGTAGATGGACGTAGAGCTTATCACACCCGATCATCACGTGGTGTCTGGGCACGACGAACTTTGGCAACGGTGCATACTCAGGGAGAACACTACTTGATAATTTTTTTAGTGAGAGATCATCTTAAAATGCTACCGTCAATCAAAGCAAGATAAGATGCATAAAGGATAAACATCACATGCAATCAATATAAGTGATATGATATGGCCATCATCATCTTGTGCTTGTGATCTCCATCTCCGAAGCACCGTCGTGATCACCATCGTCACCGGCGCGACACCTTGATCTCCATCGTAGCATCGTTGTCGTTTACGCCATCTATTGCTTCTACGACTATCGCTACCGCTTAGTGATAAAGTAAAGCAATTACAGGGCATTTGCATTTCATACAATAAAGCGACAACCATATGGCTCCTGCCAGTTGCCGATAACTTCGGTTACAAAACATGATCATCTCATACAATAAAATATAGCATCATGTCTTAGCCATATCACATCACAACATGCCCTGCAAAAACAAGTTAGACGTCCTCTACTTTGTTGTTGCAAGTTTTACGTGGCTGCTACGGGCTTAAGCAAGAATCAATCTCACCTACGCATCAAAACCACAACGATAGTTTGTCAAGTTGATGCTGTTTTAACCTACGCAAGGACCGGGCGTAGCCACACTCGGTTCAACTAAAGTTGGAGAAACTGACACCCACTAGTCACCTGTGTGCAAAGCACGGCGGTAAAACCAGTCTCGCGTAAGCGTACGCGTAATGTCGGTCCGGGCCGCTTCATCCAACAATACCGCCGAACCAAAGTATGACATGCTGGTAAGCAGTATGACTTATATCGCCCACAACTCACTTGTGTTCTACTCGTGCATATAACATCAAACCATAAAAACCTGGCTCTGATACCACTGTTGGGGAACGTAGTAATTTCAAAATTTTCCTACGCACACGCAAGATCATGGTGATGCATAGCAACGAGAGGGGAGAGTGTTGTCTACGTACCCTCGTAGACCGAAGCGGAAGCGTTGACGCAACGTAGAGGAAGTAGTCGTACATCCTCCCGGTCCAACCGATCCAAGCACCGTTACTCCGGCACCTCCGAGTTCTTGACACGCGTACAGCTCGATGACGCACCCTCGATCTCCAATCCAGTAGAGGCTCCGAGGGAGAGTTCCGTCAGCACGACGGCGTGGTGACGATCTTGATGTTCTCCTGTCACAGGGCTTCGTCTAAGCACCGCTACAATATGATCGAGGTGTAATATCGTGGAGGGGGGCACCGCACACGGCCAAGGAACGATCAATGATCAACTTGTGTGTCTAGGGTGCCCCCCCGCCCCCGTATATAAAGGAGGGAGGGAGGAGGAGGCCGGCCTAGGGAGGAGGCGCGCCATAGGGGAGTCCTACTCCCACCGGGAGTAGGATTCCCCCTTTCCTAGTCCAACTAGGGATCCTTCCATGTAGTAGGAGTAGGAGACTAGGAAGGGGAAGAGAGAAGGGAAGGAAGGAGGGGGTGCGGCCCCTCTCCCTAGTCCAATTCGGACTAGGCCTTGGGGGGGCGCGCAGCCTGCCCTAGGCAGCCCCTCTCTCTTTCCCGCAGGGCCCAATAAGGCCCAATACTTCTCCCCGGCGAATTCCCGTAACTCTCCGGTACTCCGATAAATACCCGAATGACTCGGAACCTTTCCGAACTCCGAATATAGTCATCCAATATATCGATCTTTACGTCTCGACCATTTTGAGACTCCTCGTCATGTCGTAGATCTCATCCGAGACTCCGAACTCCTTCGGTACATCAAAACTCATAAACTCATAATATAACTGTCATCGAAACCTTAAGCGTGCGGACCCTACGGTTCGAGAACAATGTAGACATGACCGAGACATGTCTCCGGTCAATAACCAATAGCGGGACCTGGATGCCCATATTGGTTCCTACATATTCTACGAAGATCTTTATCGGTCAACCCGCACAACAGCATACGTTGTTCCCTTTTTCATCGGTATGTTACTTGCCCGAGATTCGATCGTCGGTATCCAATACCTAGTTCAATCTCGTTACCGGCAAGTCTCTTTACTCGTTCCGTAATACATCATCTCACAACTAACTCATTAGTTGAAATGCTTGCAAGGCTTAAGTGATGTGTATTACCGAGAGGGCCCAGAGATACCTCTCCGACATTCGTAGTGACAAATCCTAATCTCGAAATACGCCAACCCAACAAGTACCTTTGGAGACACCTGTAGAGCACCTTTATAATCACCCAGTTACGTTGTGACGTTTGGTAGCACACAAAGTGTTCCTCCGGTAAACGGGAGTTGCATAATCTCATAGTCATAGGAACATGTATAAGTCATGAAGAAAGCAATAGCAACATACTAAACGATCGGGTGCTAAGCTAACGGAATGGGTCATGTCAATCAGATCATTTAACTAATGATGTGAATCCGTTAATCAAATAACAACTCTTTGTCCATGGTTAGGAAACAAAACCATCTTTGATTAACAAGCTAGTCAAGTAGAGGCATACTAGTGACACTCTGTTTGTCTATATATTCACACATGTATTATGTTTCCGGTTAATACAATTCTAGCATGAATAATAAACATTTATCATGATATAAGGAAATAAATAATAACTTTATTATTGCCTCTAGGGCATATTTCCTTCAGAATCAACCATATATGCCTTGGAAATGTCGAAGACAGAGTGAGCAAGCAGCAGAAGGTTTTCCTGATCCAGATCCCCTTTGATACCTTGAAGTTGACCACACCAATGGTTTTTGACACCGACCTTCTTGAGAGAGCTTCGTATGTTGGCCATATTAGAACACCTGAGTGCCCATGTTCTTTCGCCATACTTGACAACACCAATGATGAACATGAACATGGTGGCCAGAAGGAGAAAAGTATCTGCACCAGCCATGGCCTTGTATACAATATAAGCAGTCCACAGGACCTGCACTACCAGAGTAAGCAAGTGGCGCAGCCATAGTCGGTTGTCCTCAAGGGCGTAGGCGGTGATTGTGTCCTGACCGCCCAGGTGCAACACCAGGAACGGCGCCCAGAACACAACCAACCTGTGCTCAAGGGATCTGCTGGTGACAGATATGCAGCCAAGGGCGTATATCGCGGTGGAATCAGCCAGCAGATACGCTAGCCAAAGAACGAGCCTCAACACCGCGGAAGCTTTGCGCCGACGTATCCCAGCGAAGGTGAGGAGGAAAACTTGCAACATAAAGCTCAGCAGGACCGGGACTTGGATCCCCCATTCTTCCCATAGCAAGCCAACTAGCCCTCCAGCCATACGTTAACTGTAGGTAAACGCAAATAATTCATCCTTCTTAGATTGCACCATCTAATCTTATATACTCTAAAAGAAAAGAAATCAAAACGGCCTTGCACGGGCTAAAAAAACAAAATTTTCAATTGATTTTTTCTAAAATATTATAGGGCAGTAATAGCAGTGCATGCAATGTCAGACCACCAAAAAACTTATGGAAAAGATAACACCCGGACGTCAAAATTTAAGGATTTGGTACCGAACGTCGTATGGACCATTGATTTTCAAACACGAATCTTAAAGCAAGGAAATCAGCCACCAGTGTTTTCTTTTCGTTCGGAACACAACAACGTCGCCGCGAACGTCTTCCATCCCAGGCTCATCCCATCCCCCCACCTGACCCCTTATCCATTCACTCACTCTCACCGCACGTGATGGAGGGGGGAAAGAGAGGAGGTGTGGCGGGCGTAGCAGCTTGCCGACGGCGGCCGTGATGGCTACCTGCAGGGGGTCGAACAGAAAGTGGGGGGAGGTGTGAGGATGCAGGCATCATTCGGGAGCTCCTCTCCCCGCGGGAGCTCAGGCATAGAGTTCCCTCACGACGTCCAAATTGACGATGAGCGAGGACGTTCTCGCTGCAAACGCAATATGGTGGCACAACGCGGGCTTGCGCCACCAAGCGGGGATACCCGCCCGACGACCACCGGCGGCCTCGATGCGGGGACACGGCGGCCGCCTCGAGCGTAGGGACACGGCGGAGGCGTCGTGGTAGTTCCGTTTTTGTTGTCCTCTAGATAGCATCATTAGCTTGTTTTTAGCTATATTCTTCTGACATGGCAAATCTATTCTGATACTTTTGCCATTATGTTTAAGTTTTGTTCTCCAACTATGTAATTGCCATGGAAAAACATTGTTTGCAACATGGTGAAAAAAACTTGTGGGACCATGGCAATTTAAGTTCATTGAACATGGAAAATGTACATTATGGATAGTGTGGGAATTGGCATGCCTCCATTTTTTTGCCATGCAATTTTACTACCATACATCCATTGTAAATCTCCACAGCAATTTTAGTAACATACAACCTTGGCAAATCTCCATGGCAATTTTAGTACCATACAACCAATTTTTTTGCCATGGCAATAGGCATGTCTCCAATTCATATGGTACAATACAACCAATTTGCCAAGGCAAAAATTTTCACGACAAATTTAGTAATTCGCCATGGTAAATATAGTAATTGACCCTGGCAAATCCAGTTCATGGATCACGGCAACTTTAGTAATTGACCCTGGCAAATCCAGTTCATGGATCACGGCAACTTTAGTAATTGACCATGGAAAATTTAGTTTATGCACCATGGTAAATTTAATAATTATGCATGCCAAATTTAGTTCGTGGCTCATGACGAATTTCCGTTTTATGTATCATTGCAATTTTAGTTCAATGCTCATGGAAAATTCTATTCTCATGACATTCACTTTTTTAACCCATTTTTTGCAATTTAGTTGATGTATCGTCGAAATTGGTTTGTATGTAGCATGGTGATTACACATCATTTTTGCCGTCATTATACAAAAACGACACTTTTTTTTTGTAAAAGGGCCATCATTTTTTTTACAAAGAAGTGTGCAAATTTACAATGATGGCAAAAAAATTGATGTGTGTTCCTAAGTTATGGCATTTTTTGTGATTTTTGATGTATGTCATTTATTATGTACACACATTTTTTTAAACATATCAAACCTGTTGCATGGTTTTCCACTTTGTTGCTTAATGTTTGTTGGGTGTTGTACCTTTTTTTTGCACAAGCAGTGAACCTTTTCTGTTGAGGAGGCCTGTTTCGTTCTGATTTTTTTTTTTGTATATTAAATAGTTCTGGACATTTATTCGCTGGGCCAGGAGGCCTAGTAGAGGCCGGGGTCGACATCTTCGTCCACGCCACTAGAGAAAGATCGAACGAAATCGTTGGTGCTAGGGGTTCCCTCGCAGCGAACGTTTTCGCTCGTTCCAGGCTGGCCCGAATCTGAAGTTCGGGCAATATCAGGGTCCAGAACTTATAGATTGGAGGAGAAAGCTTTACCCCCGCGTCGCTGTCACTGGTGACTCTCTACATCCAGTGACCTCTTACTCCGGGCTTTTTTCCCTCCTATGGTTGTGTCGACCCTAGCTAATCTTCTTTTGGTGCTCACATGGACTACAATGACGAAGGGAGGACTCTCACACAGTAGAGGAACCAAGAAGACAGTGATGATTCTGGTATAGCAGGTTAGCAGCAGATCTATCTATTGTTAGCAGCTAATGGACATTTGTAGTTATTATAGAGCCACAATACAAATGTTGTATCTGGGAGTTACCCAGTTTGGTATTGTTTCAAATTGGTGAAAAACTAATGAGAAACATGTCATATTTCGAAATTGATACATCTTAATTAGATGCCTTCACGATGCGTCCAAATAATTAGCTTCGATCCATCGAGTCATGATGAAGATCCACGTCCATCAGATCTACTCATATTTCACTATATTATTGTGAAGATTTATGGGTGTTGCAGAACACAGGTGCGCAACAACTGAATCTAAAACTGGCATGAACGCCACAAGATCTTATAAGGAACTTATTTGAGGAGGAACTTAAGACTCGGGAGAGCAGAAAAGAGAGGGGGCACATAAGTCACTAACCTGGATGATTAGGAAACGGAAGGCCTGACCGCTGAGAAAGCACTGCTAGCCGCTTGGCTGGGGATGGATGGAGCTTTATACATCAATCTGCAGTAGCTGAATATAGTTGCATAACCAATTAGGACAAGTGTAAATTAAATACTCATCATGGTACACGATAGTTATCTCTACAAGTGTTGCTTCATTTTGCAAGCATAATAAGGTTGACCTGACTATATACAGCTGCAATAGTTAGCTAGGATATGATAATGTATACATACAAGTGGGATACAAGTTGTCACCCCACCTTCGCCGGTGTCTATCATGGATTTGCACCTAACACTATGGAATATTCTACCATAAGGCAAAGGGTTAGTTGGGAACTTACACAGTGGCTCACTTTCGGCCTTCAACGTTGGATCATTGGTGGAATTGAAAAATAGCAAAATTGGACAATATGTAGGTGGAACCAGCACCACCTATACTTGTGATCTAGTCATGTTCGATAATTCAGTACGCTGGTACCATTTTGATGACAAGTATTTCCGCACGGAGGGAGTAGTCATGTTCGATAACTCGATCAGTAGGCTGGAACCAGCTGGACGAAATATTTTGAAATAGTTGGCCGAGCCTAGACATGTCAAGTTGTAATGTCAACACATTGTCTGAACCAATCAGCCTCGCCGGGCGCTCAGAAGTCAGAGCAACAGTTTGTATTCAAGGATAAGGCTGAGAGCCCTTGGCATAAACTATCCCAAAACGAAAGTGAACATGGAGCGCATACTATAGCTGTTTTGCAGCCCATGGTTTGGCGACATTGCATGGGTTCGAAGGTTAAATTACCTGCAAGTTGCAACACAATCAAGGAAAAAAAAATAGTGCGCTACAACAAAATAGCGCCGACCTCAAACATATGCTATTAGCGTGCTATATCGTGGAGGCCAGGATTTCAACGTGGAGATCGCCCCCGCGTCGTCCTCCCCTAGGGCGACTCGGGCGGCCAGAAACCTAGCAGCCGCCGCCGCAAACTCCCTCCTTCTCTCCTTCCGCCACCGCCGGAAGACGCCGCTGGGCTAAGCCCGGGGGCCGACGGCGGTGGCGGGAGATCTCCTCTCTCGCGCGTCTTCGAGGTGGGATGGACCCCAAGGCGTGTGGTGGCGCGACCGATTTGGGATCTGCGGCGCGGCGGATGGCTGCAGGCGGCGGGAGGCCGGCCCATCCTCGGACGGCGATGGCTTGGCGCAGCAGAGGCCAGGGCTGCGGATGTTGCGGATGGCCCTTCGGGCGGCGGCAGCGGTTGCGGTCGGCGGCGGCCGGCTTGGCTACGGTGGCGTGCATGCTGCCTTCAGATCGGCGACGACGGCGTGGAGGGCCTGGTGGTTTCGTCGGCGGCACGATCAAATCTGTTCTGACCGGTGCAGCCGGCGGTGGTGGTCATCTCTTCCGTCAGAGGTGGTCGGCCTGAGGCTGGGTGTTCGGATCTCGGGACCGTCATCTGACACCAGTTGCGAGTCGGGAAGACGTAGTTGCCGGTGAAAATCGAGCCGACGGCGGGCGATGGCAGCGTTCCATGTCGGTACCTTGATGAAGGCATCGTCATGTGACTACCGTCGACCCACTCTTATTGCTCCGAGGGAAACCCTAGGATCTGGTGTTCCAGACCGGACGGGCGGCACTGCGGTGTCGTTTCTCTCTTGAGAGCATCGTTTTGTGGAGCAGCGCTGGAAGTCAGAGGCAGGAGGTGGAGCAGCTTCGTCTTGCTTGGAGCTTTGGTGGAGATGTCAAGTCATGCCTGACCGACAGGTGCTACGCTTGGTCATGCCTGGTCGGCAGGTGCTACGCACGACAGATCCTCCAAGGGTTTCAAGCTGTGTCGGCCAGTGATACTTGGCAGCATGGAGCTGAGGTGTATCAGTGGCGACCGCGACGTGTTCAGCTGTTTGCGCGCAGGGAGGAGGTGCCGTTGGGCGCCGTGGTGGTGTCGACGATAGCTAGACCGAGCAAGGCTAATGCATCAGTACAGTTCTGAAGATGGAGTGGTGGCAGTTGACGGCGGCGGCCTCTGAGAGCACGCCGGACCAGTGTGTGCCCCAGACCAGGCAAGTGGCTAGGTTGGGGTCTCAGGTCTTAGATGTTAGGCTTGGCTGCGATGTCTGTTTGGTATTAGGCACAGGCTATCTGCGCCCCTTCATCAACTGGATAGGTATAGCGACAGTTTGTTGCTTAGACGGCGGCTTTAGTCTTACTGTTGTATGACTTTGTAAGGTCTTGTGAGAATAATTAATAAAGTGGCCGTATGCATTGCTCAGATGCAGAGGCCGGGGGTCATCCTCCTTTAAAAAAAATATCACGCTATAGCGTGTG